TTGTTTAAATCGGTTCAGATGTGGATATAGCTCCTTTATAGGTCAATGGTGGTGAAGGATATGATATAGTCGGCACCGTCCGACTTTACTACTTTCCTTACTGGTTAAAAATATTTTTTCAAGGGTTAACAATACGCGTGGAATTTTAAAAACATTTTTCAAGGGTTAACCATAGGCGTGGATTTTAAAAATATTTGTCAAAAATAGGCGTGGATTTTTAAAAATAGTTTTCCAACAATTAAAAATAGGTGTGGATTACTAAAAATAATTTTTAAGATTAAAAAAAATTTTAATTTCACAGAGACTTCATGCGCGACAATTTCATTGAAATGGAACCCTCTGAAGGTGGCCCCGATTGTAAGTCTCGCATTTTCACCTATGGCGAAATTGAATTGAACTACTGTCCCAAAGTGTACTACAAAAAATTACTACAGACCCATGGTGATGTTACACACATTCAATATGCACTTTTGAAAAATAGCTATCCTGTGGGTTTGAATATGGAAGCTGCTCCGGGTTTTGGTAATGCCATGGGTGAGGCTATCATCTTATCGGTGTCAACACCGAAACATTTACAACAAAATTTGGGACTATTGACAAATGTCGATTATGATGATATTTTAAATCTGAATCGTTTATATCGAATGGTAAGTAGAAGGCTTGGGAAACTCAATTTTTGGAATATATAATATTTTTCTATTAATTATAGGCAGTCCACACGATCCTGACCATACCCATGTATTTTGTTCACGAGAAATTGTGGATTGATATGATCGATAATAGAATTTCGCCCGAACAATATAATTGCCACTATTGGAATTTAATGGCCAAGTATATGGGTGTGGGACCCACCATCAAGACTGCGGAGGGTGCCTATGATATGCCCTATAAATTCTATGAAGGAATTGTGGACCAAACAAGAAGTACCAGGTGAGAAAGAGGGCGAGTTCTTAATATGTTATTTTTCTATATGCCTACCTATTGCATCCTTGCAGAAAACTTTTTGGTGAATTTTTGGGTTATCAAATTTATCGCGCCGTCTGTATGGAAATTGGTGAATTCCAGCGTGGTAATGCCTATAAAGTTCTAAACAATTGCGATTTTGCCAATAACAAACAAGCTGGTAACCTCTTAAAGTGAGTATTAATTTTTTCCGAAACAAAAAAAAACTTTTTTTTTTTTGACTTACCCTCTTGTTCTTTGCATTTCCCGCACGCACAGACAAATGATGTCGGCCGGCTCAACAAAATCCTGGCGTAAAATCATTAAACCTTTGACCGTACGAAATATTGAAAAGATTTCGGCCGTTGCCTTCTTGGAATACTTTGAACCCCTCAACACTTGGGTAACCGAACATAATATTGAGCAAAATATTCATGTGGGCTGGAAATATGATGATAGTATGACCTTGATATCCGGACTTTAGTGCCAGAACAAATATTTAATTTGGTCTCCATCACATTTTTTTTCATTTTTTTCCAGAATGTCAACGCTCATGATGATTCTTTGTATTGTGCCTTGGAGGATACAAAATCCATATTAGTATCCTGTCTTTGTCATTGTCATCGACAAATGGAGAAATAATTTAAGGATTTTCCTCGTTTTTTAGTTTGGATTTTGATTTTCTTCGATTGTGTTTGTGTGTGTGTTGTTGTGCTTTATTTTTCTATTTTGTTCCTTTATTTGTATTGATGATGGATAGTGAAAATAAAACAATCATTTTGGTTCAAATATCAAAGGACAATTTGGTACGATTACAAAGGAAAACAAAACAAAACAAGAAATAGGACATGTGTAGATGAAGTCCTACAAGAGATAAAAGTTAAAGATTTAATACGAAAAAAATTAGGGGATTTTTTAAAAAAATATCTTTCAAAGATGGATTTTGTAAAAGTATTTTTTCAATACTCCTAATAAACGTAAATTAAAAAACAATCAAAGGCCTACAATATGCTCGGATTTATTAAAAAGAAATTCAAAGACCTACAATAGGCGGGGGTTTATTAAAAAACTAGGCGCAAATTATTAAAAATATTTGTTCAAAGGACTAAAAATAGGCGTGGATTATTAAACACATCTTTTAAATGAATAACCAGTAAGGAAAGTAGTAAAGTCGGAGTGGGCCGACTATATGACACCCTTCACCACTTTGGGTATTTTGAACATATGTATCCTTACAATTGCATATCAATGTTCCCTCGAAGGAACATACGCATGTCTTTTTGCAACCTATAATAAATTTAATTTCATTCGGGCAGATTTAGAGTCGTTTGCCTATCATGGGACAAATATTTGGAAAACGTTTTATAGCAAAATTGATACACGATTTATGGAAAACGTTTTATAGCAAAATTGATACACGCTATTCGGTATGCCGCATTCTTAAAATGTAATTTCAATTCAGACACCCGTTCGAAATACATATGGAAGCTATAGCTCCATCTGCACAAATTTCAACAAAACGCAATAACATCATTCAAGTCTCAATATGATACACTGTTCAAAATTTCGTGTTAATCGGACAAACATTAGGAGTTTGGAACGGCATTTATGTAAAATCGGACGAATGTATACGAATATGTGGGAGCTATATAAAAATCTGAACCTATCCTCAAGTTACCACACATCACTCTAAACACAATTAAGTGCGCTATGAGAAATTTCGTCCAAATCCAAGAATATGTAGGGACTTTGGTGCCCCATTTACATTAAATCGGACAAAAATATATATCGAAACCCGAACCGATTTGCAAGATATTTAACATACATCGTTCTAGGCCTAATTCATTACGCTGTGCCAAATTTCGTGCAAATCTAAGGATATATAGGGACTTTGGTGCACTATTTACGTGAAATCGGATGAAAATATATTCGAGCTATATCTAAATCTCAACCGATTTTAACGAAACTTAATACACACCATTCAAGGCTTAATTCAGTACCCTATGCCAAATTTCGTGCACATCGAAGAATATATAGGGACTTTGGTGCAGCAATTGCCTTAAATCGGACGAAAATATATATGGGAGCTATATCTAAATCTGAACAGATTTTCATAAAACCTAGCACACATTATTATTGACTCAATTCAGTACGCTATGCCAAATTGAAGAAGTTGATAGTATATCCAAGAGGAGGTGTGGACCTTTAAATTAATACTGAAGCGGATCAACTCTGTTTTTATTCAAATATTATTTGCTATAGTATAAAAGCATACATTTTGTTAATCATTTAAATGCAACTGTTATTTACATATTTGAAATTAACGGTTATCTATGTAAATATTTTGTAAATAGTACTAAAAACTACATCTCTGAATCTACTACATTATTACACAACCAATACTAGACGAGGATCTTGCTTCTCATAAATAGCACCTAAGCTCAATCAAATTTTAATACAATCGCTTCACTCCGAGTCCGGACCCCCGAATTCGTTTAAGCGAACACTGAAGGCTTAAGATCATTACCCACGCTTGCCCAAGTTGATGGTCTAGATTATAAGCTGGAAATAGTTCCTAAACAAGGAATAGCCAACATTATTGTAAATCGTGTTGTTTCGAGTTTCTTCACTGGCGCCCAACGTGGGGCAAGCCTCATTGAAACCCAAGAGTTTCTTCACTGGCGCCCAACTCAGTGGCCATGAACTACGACCTATAAGTAAAAGCCGAGGACAACACCAACAAGTCAGACGGCCTTCTTTATAGACGCCCAACGAAGTGGCCACGAACAACGACACAAAGATTGAAAAAGGAAAATACCAAAGCAGATAACGACGAGTACGTGTCAGGCAAAAAAGAAGAGATGACGCAGTTTACTGAAAGCCAATTCAAACAACTGATCAAGGCAATGCAGAACAACAACCGGACGGGTTAGTTTTCGTATTGCACTGGTTTTTTCGGGGGCAGAGAGATGCCGCCTCAGTTGAAGAATTTGTGACATCCATATCAGTATATAAAGACATCTCAGACGCCGACGTAAACAGGTTGCAGCTGCTATTGGAGAAAATATGGTATTTTGCAGAATCACCATGTACCATATCGTTTGCAGTTCTGTTCTAGGGGGAGAAGGCATATACCTGACATACCAACTCCCAGAAAGATATGATGACTACGAGAACGCAATCTTCATTACTGAATCAACACTCCAGCTCTACTTATCATATATCAGATTCCACAACCCTTTATTGCTGATGCATCATCGGGACGATTTCAGCATCAAAGGGAGAGACTGAAGCGGATCAACTCTGTTTTTATTCAAATATTATTTGCTATAGTATAAAATCATACATTTTATTAATCATTTGAATGCAACTCTTATTTAAATATTTGAAATTAACGGTTAACACAACCAATACTAGACGAGGATCTTGCTTCAATAAAATCGCTTCACTCCGAGTCCGGACCCCCCGACTCTAATTCGTTTAGCGAACACTGAAGGCTTAAGATCATTACCCACGCTTGCCCAAGTTGATGGACTCGATCATAAGCTGGAAGTGGTTCCTAAACAAGGAGTAGCCAACATTATTGTAAATCTTGTTGTTTCGAGTTTCTTCAATACCAATTATATTGCCGTATGTACTCGGATGTGGGAGTTACACTTCAATATTTACAGGTGCTTACGTACTCAGATATAGAGAGCGGAAATATAGCGCTGATGGCTTTGAAATTTTCCATGGGGTTCCAGTTATGGTCAAGGACAACGCCTATAACTAACTCGATGATGATCAGACCGAACACTTAATTTGTTTGTGTTTTTTCGAGTCGATCTATAGGCCACATAACCGAACATCACAACACAACCCACCGTGAAGGCAATCTGAATCTGAATATTAGTCATATTCGGAAAAAGGTCTGTGTAAGGAAGAGGTGCTGTTGACCTCTAATCGGGCAGGAGGGTACAAAAATCATGAAATATTGCCTAGGCTCGGAAAACAAAATTCCGCAGAATGTTAGTGTTCCGTGGAAGTTGTGTAGGGTATCATATGGTCGGCCCCGTCCGACTATACTGCTCCGCTCACTGGTTTAAAAATATTTTTAAGGCCTAAAAATAGGCGAGGGTTACTAAAAATTTTGTTTCAATGTTGAGAATAGGCATGGAAATTTGAAAAATATTTTTGCAATGAGTAAAAATTTGTCGGAACTTTTAAAATCGATGACAAAAAAGGTAGAAATTAAATAAATATATTAAAAATATGCCAAAATTCTAAAACTATTTTTTTCAATGTTAATAATAGACGTGAATTTTTAAAATATTTTAAACCCGTTTTAAGGACCCATAACAGCGACTCTTTTTAAAAAATATTCCAAAAGGACATTTGTGAATATGTATTTCTTAAGGTGAATTTTTAAAAAATATTCTTTTTTTCAAGGACTTTCCAAAAGCTACCATAGATCTTAAAGGAAAATCCCTTTAGTTTGTTTAAATTTTATTGAAAGACCATTTGTATTGGGGGGAAATAAAGACCAAAACTGAGCAAGGATTACAACATGTTGACAAAAACTTTCAATCTAAAAATTTAATTTAATTATTTAAAATTATTTAAATTTCTTTATTCATACAGTAAATATGTTTTCTATTCCATGACATTCAACATTTTATCGCATGTGGGTGAGGAAATAAAAAAACACAAAAAATGTGTGCTTCTCTGTGCAAATTATTTATTATTCTTCGACAACTATCCACAAGCTCCAGTCGCTGTAACTAAACCAAAAAACACAGTCCGAAAAGCCTTGATAAGAACCCTGCCCGTGCCCATATCAGAGTGCAAAGCAAAAGCGTGAACAACAAAAAAACACAACAACTTCAACTAGTTTTGGCATTTCAATTTTAGTCTCGCTTAAGATGTCGATTGCAAAGCATTTCTTTTCACTGAAATTGAAATGAACGAAAAGTACGGATAAAAAAAAACTAAATCATACAAAATCAACGGAGTGTTCGGTGAACTTCCAATCTGTTGGTAGTGCAACTTGGTATGGATAAATGAAAGATACGCGTTTGATTTTTTTTTTTTTTTTTTTGCGAAAAATGAAAAAAGTGATGGCCTGTTCCTGGAATTGTTTTGTATGACGGATTTGTCCAAAACTAAGTATTATAAATTGTGCAGTGATATATATATATATCATATCCTTTGTGGAAGTTTGTGATGTGAAATAGAGATCAGATCAAAGTATAGTATTTAATAAGTTTTTTCTAAATTTTTTTTTTCTAAAAAATCGGCGCTTAATAATAAAAATGCCAAATTTTTTCATAAATTAATTAAAACTGTCCATCTAAATCTATTCTTATCCAAAATATCGATAAACATACAGTAAAACATCTACTTTTATTTTCTGCGCGCTAGATCTGCATTTTTTCCACTGTGCGTAATTTGGCATTCCGAATTCCTGTTTGCAATGTAGAATGTGGATGTTTGCATCGCACCCATGCAAAGCCCCCGTTATGTTTTTGGTACATTGACGTTATCAGTCCAGTTGTCCATCCATGGTGTCTAGCATACAATTTACAATGACATAGTCACTATTAATTTTTCATCAACACCAGTTATCGACGACGCCAAGCCAGGTTGGCTAAAAAAAAACGCCTAGCAGTATTGCCATCGTTTGTTGTTCCGGATACTGACTTAGGTGCGTCAACAATAATGTGCATTTCTTCCTTCAAATCATTAATGATACGTGTTTTCCTTTCTTCGAAAAGTGGCCGATCGGAGCTATTAATTTTCCATTTTTTCAAAACAAGTCGGTATGAAATGTACAATATTCATTCTAAACATCGAATCCTTGCATGTAAGGTAGATAGGCCGTATTCATATAAGTTTAATGACGAAATGTTGTTGTAATCATTCATTACTTTTGGTGTTGCCCTACAAATTCCACATGATTTGGTACAGGGTATTATGTCTTTGAGCATATGTTTGTAACAGGCAAAAGGAAACGAGATAGACGCATGGTTCCTTTTGAGAATATGCATAGAATCACTTTCTAAGTCGATGTATGCATGTCCGTCCGTCTGTCTGTCTGTCTGTCTGTCCATGTTTAATTGTAAACAAAGTACAGGTCGCATTTATAATCCGAATTGGATGAAATTTGGCATAGGTCACTTATTTGGCTCAAGGACGAACCCTATTGAAATTCGGAAAAATCGGTTGAGATTTAGATATAGCTCCCATATATATTTTCGTCCGATTTAATGTAAACGGTCCCTATATATCTTTTGACTTGAACGAAATTTGATACAGCGTAATGAACTAGGTCTATAATGATGTGTGTCAATTTTCCTGAAAATCGGTTCAGATTTGAATATAGCTCCCATATATATTTTCCTCCGATTTAAGGTAAATTGTGTACCAAAGTCCCTATGTATATTTCGATTTGCACGAAATTTGGCACAGCGTAATGAATTAGGTTTATAATGATATGTATTAAGTTTCCTGAAAATCGGTTCAGATTTGGATATAGCTCCCATATATATTTTCGTCCGATTTAAGGTAAATTGTGTACCAAAGTCCCTATATATCTTTCGATTTGCACGAAATTTGGCACAGCGTAATGAACTAGGTCTAGAATGATGTGTGTCAAGTTTCCTGAAAATCGGTTCAGATAAAGATATAGCTCCCATATATATTTTCGTCCGATTTAATGTAAATGTTGTACCAAAGTCCCTATATATGTTTCGATTTGCACGAAATTTGGCACAGCGTAATAAATACAGTCTAGATTATGTGTGTTAAGTTTCGAGAAAATCGATTCAGATATAGATATAGCTCCCATATATATTTTCGTCCGATTTAATGTAAATGGTGCACCAAAGACCCAACGCTAGGCCGATTGACACAACATTTTGCACACCATACTAAAGTTAATATAACGTAGCATGTGGAAAGTTTTGTTGAAATCGGTTCAAATTTGGATAGGTCTGCCATATATATTTTCTCCCAATATTAAGTAAATAATGCACCAACATGTGAGAAATGTGGCCGATATGCGCAAAACATACTGAAATTAGTAAAACCTAACCTGTGAGAATTTTTGATGAAATCGGTTTAGATTTCGATATAGCTTTTATATATATTTTCGTCCGATTTTAAGTAAATGGTGCACTAACCTCGTCATGTTTATCAGATATTTATCCAAATAATCAACGGGTGTCCGATTGATATTTACTTTAAATTGATTTACATAATGTTGTCCCATTTAAAGAAGCAATTCTATGTCTGTATAAATGAAAATGTTTGTATAGGTTGCAGAATGGCATGTTTATGGACCCAATTTCTTTTTACTGGTCCTTTAAAAATGAGACGTCTGTTAGAATTCATCTGTTGAATAATCCCAAAGTGGTGAAGGGTATCATATAGTCGGCCCCGTCCGACTTTTTTTAAAATTATATCCTTAAAATGTAACGGTGGGTCAATCGTGCATATAACGGTAATTTGTTATAGGGTTATATATATTTATTTGGAATTATATCGTTACAACCTAATAAACTAATCATGATAACAAATTCCATTGTTCTCCCACGAACTTTTACAAATGTTTGGCAATAATCAAACAAACAGCAAAAGAAAAACAGCAAATAAATCGTAATATAAATTGAAAACACTCAACAACAAAAAAAGAGAATAAAAATTATAAAATAAGAAAGAGAACAAAAACTTGAAGTGATATAGGAAGCAAATCAAAATAACAACAGAAGTGTAAAGTGGACAATGTCATTGTGAAGACGGAAAAACGAAAGACGCCAAAAACAAGAAAGCTCTGCAAAAAATGAGGAAAATGTCAGCAATGATGATCATAACAATTGTGGTAAGTTCCAGATGAAAGAAACTTTCAATTTCTTATATTTTTATTTTTGTATTATTTCAAACATTTTTGGGTTTTTTTCTCAAAAAATCTACCCTTGTCGGTTAGATAGGAAACAAATCATATTTTATATGCAACAAAAAAATGGAGAGCAACATTTGTGGGCGAAATAAGATAAATGGAAATGTCTAGCTAATGGCCTGTATTTGAAATAACCAACTGACCCACCAGCCCAGACAGAGCACCCATTATTTATAACAGAAAAAAATAACAAAAAGCGGAAATGTTTATATTTATATAAATGTGCGGCTATGAATATTCTTTGTTTTCCGGTGGTTGCGACTCGCAATCGCTTACAAACACTTCATAACCCTGAATTTCATTTCTGGGGGTGTTTGTTTATTTGTTTGCTTCCTTGATAGTTGCCAATAAATTGTTGAATTTTTTGTTGGCATTTTTTTGACTGCGTGGTTAGTTTTAATATATATTCATCTTCTCCCTTTCGATTTTGAATGTCAAGTTTACTATTAACACCAAATATTGGAAGAAAGTGAAGATTGATTGGTATAATACAATTAATAGTTGTACATAGTTTTGTGGGGTGAACAAAAAGAATAGATGAAGGGTAGATTAGAGATAATAAAACTAAGAAAATTAGTAAACCTTACCCTCCTGGAAAAGGAAATTATTACACTGTGATATGGGGTGGAAAATGCGATCTGCTGATGAAAGCTGTAAAAGCAGGTTTAATATCTGAAATCCAGGCTTGACAAGTAAAAACCAGTAAGGAAAGTAGTAAAGTCGGGCGGGGCCGACTATATGGAACCCTCACCACTTTGAGTATATTCAACAGATGAATCCTAACAGACGTTGCATTTTTAAAGGACCAGAAAAATTAAATTGGAACCATAAACACGTCATTCTGCAACTATCTAAATCTGAACCGATTTCAGGAAACTTAACACACATCATTCTAGAGATAATTCATTACGCTGTGCCAAATTTCGTGCAAATCGAAAGATATATAGGGACTTTGGTGCACCATTTACATTAAATCGGACGAAAATATATATGGGAGGTATATATAAATCTGAACCGATTTTGAGGAAACTTAACACACATCATTCTAGACCTAATTTGTTATACTGTGCCAAATTTCGTGCTTAAATTGACTCAAAAAATGATTCTATGCTTATTTTCAAAAGGAACCATGTGTCCATCTCGTTTCCTTTTGCCTGTTACAAACATATGCACAAAGACATAATACCTATACCACAGTATGGTGAAGGGTATAAAAAGAATTTGGTTCAAGAAACTCAAAATACCGATAATTGGGGGGGGGGGTACCCTTATGTGAGGGCTACCAGATAAAATTGACCAATATTTATAATTTATAGTGGAGAGATTTGCTACCTAATGAGAACTTGACTTACTAAATTACAGTCAATTCGGTCGAAAAATACGATCAGAACTCCCAAAATACCAAAAATTTTGGGGTACCGTTATATGGAGACTACCAGAAAAACTGGGCCTATATTTATAATTTTTAATGAAGTAATTTGGTACCCAATAAGAACCCAATGTATAAAATTTCAGAGAATTCAGTTATAAATTGATCCCAAGAACCCGAAAATACCGAAAATTGGGGGTAACCTTATATGGGGGCTCTCTGAAAAAATTGACCTTTATTTATAATTTTTGGTAGGGAGATTTGCTACCCAATAGTGTTCGTCCTTGGGCCAATTAAGTGATCTGTGCCAAATTTCATCCAAATCGGATCATAAATGCGACCTGTACTTTGTTAACAAAATTACATGGACGGACGGACATGCATAAATCGACTCAGAAAGTGATTCTATGCATATTCTCAAAAGGAACCATGGGTCTATCTCGATTATTTTTGCCTGTTACAAACATATGCACAAAGACATAAAACCCTGTACCACAGTGTGGTGAAGGGTATAAAGAGTCAATCGGTGTTGCCGACTGATATATACCCTCAGCCTATGGTTTGAATTACACACAGGTTTTATTAATCGCTTTATATAGGGTGTATGTTTTTATCAAAGATGTTTCGGATTTAATGTTGATAAAATCGGTTATTCAATTTGCTTCATGTTATATTTACCAGCTTATAATATATTGATCCTTTGTTGGGGAGGTACTAGAAGGAGAAAGCCGACGGGTCCCACCTTAGGACTTGATGTAGACGGGTCCCACCTTAGGACTTGATGTAGGCTTGGTAAAAATAATAGGTTGTGCAATCTTTGGTTCAAATCGGCAATTCTTTGCACTAATATTGAATTTATAAATATAGAAAATGTTAACCCTTTGTGAGGGAGGACATGATCCTGGCTTGGTGAAGATAATAGGTTGGCAAATTTTTGTCGATATTGGTGTGTAGGTTGATTATCTCTTCTGCATATGTAGTATTCTGTGAAAAAAAATAAAATATATATTTAGACATGTTTTAATAATTCCCACATTCGCTAACGAGGTAGCCGGTCTTGTGGACAATGATCTGGGAAAAAATTAAAAAGAACTAGAAAAATATACGAAAAGCCAGAACAAGCCTAAATTTTTGTAGAGTTTTTGGATGTTAAAAATTACGTGCACTAGTTTTCCAAGAAGAATGGCTGTAATATGGAACATTATTTTTTTCGGAGCATAAACAACCTGCAACAACAAAACCTCCATAAAAGTCCCGTCCGATTTAAGGCAATTTTAATGCACATCAAAATGATCAATATAGGTATTTTTTTCGAATTCTCTGGGGCTACCGTATAAAGGTACCCCCAAATTTTCGAATTCACTGTAATTTGGACATTGGGTTTGGACTTACTTACATACTTACTTAGCTGGCTTGTTACAGAACGGTTGTTCCATAAGCCGAGCTTAAAAAAAGATTTCCAAGCGTGGAAGACCAAGTTCCAAGATGTTGTTTTCTACTTGGTCTTTCCACCTAATTCGTTGCCCTCCCCTTCTACGGGAACCATCAGTAGGCTCGTTTTTATATGCCTTTTGAGCTGGGGCATTTTTGTTCATCCGCACAACATGGCCTAGCCACCGTAGTCGCTGCAGCTCAATACGACTGACTATGTCGATGTCCGCGTATAAATTGTAAAGCTCGTGGTTCATTCGACGCCGACATTCACCGTCGACGCAGAGCGGCCCGTAGATCTTTCGGAGAATTTTTCTCTCAAACACCCTAAGAGCTGCCTCATCTGCTTGCGCAAGTACCCATGCTTCTGATCCATATAATAGCACGGGTAGTATCAGGTCTTGTAAAGTGTGAGTTTGGTCTGGCGGGAGGGTGCCTTGTTTCTAAACTGCTTACTTAGACCATAGTAGCATCTGTTGGCCATCACAATCCTTCTCCGAATTTGAAAACTGATGTCATTCGTTTTATTTATGGCGGTACCAAGGTATATAAAGTCTTTAACTACCTCGAAGCTGTAGTTCTCAAGTTCCACAGTTGGTCCGAGTCTACTGGACGTCTTGCGCGTTGATACCATCAGCTTGGCCTTCTTGTTGTTTACTGCCAGACCCACTTTTGCTGACTCCTTCCCAATTTGTTCAAAGGTGGTTGTTACCGCTCTCAATGTTCGACCCATTATGTCGATGTCATCGGCGTAGGCGAGTAACATGTGTTGTTTGGTGTACAGAATGCCATTTCTGTTCACCTTTGTCTCTCGTATGACCTTTTCCAGTAGGATGTTAAAAAGGTCACACGACAAACTGTCACCTTATCTGAATCCTCGTTCGGTATTAACCCTTTCAGTGTTTTTGTCGAATATATTCGACATTTAAAAGTACTCTTTTTCTTTGCGATTTTTCGGTTATCCTATGTACCGTTACTATTGATGTTTTTGTTTTTGCTGAAAGACAGACGAAACTGGCCAAGGGTTAAATTGACAATTGCTATTTTATTTAAACTATTTCCCTTTATATGATTTTAAATACAACAACTTCAGATTTTCATTCCGACAAAATTTTTTTGACACTGAAAGGGTTAATGGGCTCCGAGAGGTCTCTTCCGACTGCTTATCTTGTGCCAGTTAAAGTTGTCTTGCATAGCCGAATTAATTTTGCAGGAATGCCAAATGCAGACATGGCTTTAACGCCTCTGAACGGATAGGGCTGTCGAATGCGGCTTTATAGTCCACAAAAGGTGGTATGTGTCGATGTGTTTTTCATGGGTCTTTTCCAGAATTTGGCGCAGAGTGAAAATCTGGTCAATGGTGGATTTGCCAGGTCTGAAGCCGCATTGGTATGGTCCGATGATGAATACCACTTTATATGCGATTGGAAGGAGACTTATTCCTCTATAGTTGGCGCATATCGTCTTGTCTCCTTTTTTGTGCACGAGACACAGGATGCTGAGGTTCCAATCGTGCATGCCCACTCATCTAGCCAAATTGTGCTAATCATCTGGTGCATGCTCCTGACCAGCATCTGGCCACCAGTCTTGAATTGTTCGGCTGGTAACCCATCGGCTCCTGCTGCTTTGTTGTTCTTGAGCCGATTAATTGCTTTTATGACCTCATCTTGGCTAGGTGGTACACACTCTATACCATCATCTCTTATTGGTTCTGGGGTATCTTCTTCATCGCCACTATTTGATACTAGAAGTTTTTCGAAATGCTTCTTCCAGATCCTCAACACGCTGTCTGTATCTGTCACCAGGTTTCCATCTTCATCTCTACAGGAGGATGTGGTAAAATTTCCGGACTTCATTCTGACTCCTATACGGGCCCAGGGAATCAAGGTGGCCTTGTGTATATCGAAGTCAATCAACCGTGGGCGCAAATGAGACTGATGTAAAAGAACTTCGCTTTTTTACGGATTATAGCAATTCGCTCATCTACTGTAGTGAATCTGGAGACAAGGTCTTTTATTCTCCTGTTAACCATAAATCCGCAGCCAAATTCATGGCACGTTTCATGGCAGCTATAATACAGGGCGTAATCATCTTATTTACTTACGCCTGTCCCTTTCCATCGCATTTCCTGTAAGGTAATAATATCGGCTTTGCACTTCTTGAGTATATCCGCCAAAGCGAACACTGCGCCTGTTCTGTACAACGTGCGCACATTCCAAGTGCAGATTCGCAGATCGTGGTCCTTTATATGTTTACGGGGGTCATCAACATTAGGGGGTTTTGGTTTTCTTTTTCTTAGCTTTTTCATAGTAGGTTGGGTTTTCCGAGAGTGAGCCTCAACCCATTTTTTTATAATTCTTATGGGTGAACTCGCGGCACATATTAGCTCACTATTTCATTGGGTGATGAGAATAGCTTCCCAGGTGGCACCGCGGGGATGTCATTGTCCACAATTGAGATGAAAGAGGGACCAAGATAAGCCTGGATTTCGCCATGTTAAAGCCAATCAGATCCGTTGCTTGGTATCTATCATCCCCTACGGACACGTTTTTCAAAAATAAGGTTGTAATTTGGTATTTTGGATTCGCATTTGATACGAAAGCTCTATACGGAAAATTATCAATATGGTTACACTTTTTGGGGTAGTCCCCTTATAGCGGTATCCCCAAAATATGCGGATCTTGAGGATATTTGACAAGTTTTTCGATCGAGTTGTCTGTAATTTAATATTTGTTTGGGCGAAAAGAAATCCATTATTTTTATATGAACTATAGGACTTTATTTAACATGCTTCAGAATGTCTGATTTGGGCCAAATATGCACCGTTTTGTTGTATGATTTGTTGCCTTTTTAAAGGTAACTTCATAATGCCTCTCTCATAAAGACCAGCTCTCTATTTGCTATCCTCCCTTGATATAAATTCTTTTGTCTTTAAAGAAATTTTGCAAGAAAAGGAAGATAATCGCTTAGTGCCATGTCCGGACTGTATGGCGTTTGCATTAAAACTTTCCAACCAAGCTCCGGAAGTTTCTGGCGAGTCACTGTAGATGTTGTGGTGGAACATGGCACCTTTCCTTTTATCCCATTCTGGCCATTTCTGATCATACGGTCCAGTTGTTGACAACAGAGATCAGAATTTAGCGTTTGACCATATGGATGCAACTCATAATAAATAACCCCTTTCCAGTCCAACCAAATGTATAGCAGAACCTTCCTGGCCGTTAATCCTGGTTTGGTCTTTTGAGGTGCTTCACCGCTTTTTGACCACGATCGTTTTCGCACAGGTTTATCGTATGGCATCCATTTTTTATCTCCAGTCACCATCCATTTAAGAAATGTGTCTATCCCACACCGTTTGGCCAAGGCTTCGTGGATGGGCGATGTTACGACTGCTAACATGCCGGTCAACTCGATCATTTCTCCGATTTTATAGGCATTTTCGACTGCCGGCCTAATGTATTTCTTTTTTCCCGACATAATATGAAATTTCTAATGTAAGGAGACAAATCTCCCGATTTTGAAAAAAACGTCCCTTAAGTTTGTGTTTTATTATTTTTACAGGCACTGAATAAGTCGATACCGACAGTAGTAGTCCACAGTTTTGCGTGCTGTAGTGGCTTCCAAATTCTTGCGAAAGCAATTCTTTTATATTTTCACTGTTTTTCCATGTAAAACTAATATTTTTTCTTTTATATTATCAAGTAATAAATATAACAATATTTCATTCTATTTATAATTATTTATATTATTAAAATCATTTATTTATTTTCAGCTTTTGCTCCTTGCCACCCCTGCATGTCAGGGACAAACTACTGTCGACCCTTTAGAATCTGAACACAACACCACAACGACGACACCGATACCAACAACCACCACCAGTCAATATTCCGAAGTGTATGAAGCTCATGCCCGTCATTATTTGGAAATTGCTGAAAAGGGATTTGCACACATCTACAATCGTCGACGAGACCTCTTCCATGGTCTGACAAAGAAACGCGTCAGCATCAGTGAAATCAATCAGGCTAATGTCCAACATGAAATCGATAATGAATACTATCAACTGGTGTATGAGTTGGCATCGAACCTGAGTGTGATTCCTGTGAAGCAGTTGAAAAATGAAACGTTAAGGCGTCAAGTGCAAAGACTCTCAAAATTGCAATTACATGGATTAAATCGTCACGACTATGAACGTTCAAAGGCATTGCTGCGAGTTATACAATCGTTCATCACCTCGCCATTGGTTTGTCAAAACGATTGTAAATCGGCCACAGATAAAAATGTTGCCTTCGAACCGACAATTAAATCCTTCATCGAGCATAATAAAAATAAGGATCATTTATATTTTTATTGGCTGAAATGGCGCCATGCTCTGAATAAGGATGCTAATTGGGCTCAGGATACATTTTTGGAATATGTCGATTTGTGGCGCAAGGCAGCGGCTTATAATGGTAAGTGGAAAAATAAAAAATTCTTATGAAGCGATTTTTTTCTACAGAATACTACTTCCTTTTTATTCTCCGTCCTTTAATTATTTCATCACACCCCTTCTTGTAATTTACTAGCAAAATGCCAAACATTTCCTTTCACCTTCTCTCATTTTAATGTGTCCTTGTGCGTTCAAACGAATCCTCCGACCATCCCCAAGTGATTTCAAATTTCAAGCATCAACTTGTAATGTAATTAAACAAAGCGTCTGTCTGTTTGTTTGTCGAACTGACTGACTGATTGATAATTTGTTGCTCTCTGCAATGAGGACGATTTCTTGAAATCTAATCTTGTCGAGATAAGTATTTCCACTCGATGGACACAGCATATAAGGAATTGCAATTCCGTTTAAGAGGAGGGGAGCCATGACTTAGATAATTCCAATGTTTAACTTTAAACGCACATGGGAGATTGACAAAATAATTATGTCCTGCCATGTGCATATGTATGTGTGTATGTATGTCTGTGCCGTTGGGTAAGAGTGTTTCATAACGATTTTGTGTTGTTATGCGAATATCCCTCCCATTGCAGCCTCAATTGCAGTTTTATTTGGGGTGAAGAGCAAAACGAATAAAAAAAGACGACAACTACTCAGTTGTATTCGATTCGAAGGACATTATCATTTATCAATGAGGTGTGCCCAAGGTTAGATAAGTTAAATGAGTAGGGTATCAAAAGGTAATCCTTGGAGACCTTCAGAAATTATGTTTAGCAATATTTGTGCTGCAAATCAATAACTTTGGAAAAAAAGTAGTGAGATAAACTGATGGGATATTAACGAGTTAAGTTGAAAAGTTGGGAAATATTTATGTTTGTATCTTGGGATCAGGACCTGTCATAGATGGAATAACATTTTACTGAACGCTTGATTAAGTCCTCCTAGATTTCATAACACACGCCTTACCGTTGTATCACTTTTATTACCGATAACTCACTACTACTCTTTGGATCTGATATATCAATTATTTCAACAAATGTCCACTAGAGCCTCAGTCTTATGCCTAATTAGGGTATATATTGGTTTTAGACCCTATGTTTTTGAACCACAGCCATTTCAGACAATTTGGTGTGGAGTTGTTAACTCTCACTCTCTGGTCGGCATGTTAACTCTCGAAGGCATTAACCAATTTCATCCAAACTTCATTTCATTTATTCCAAACTTAAATCAAGTCCACTCCACAAAATGGTCAACATTTTTCTGAACATAAATTTCATTATATCATTAGGACTTTGACTAAGTATAATGTTGAAAGATGTGACCCATCTAATTGTAAGTTTTTTTTTTTTAAAAAATTGTTGATCTAATATCAAAGGAATGGAATGTCCGATTTGATTCGAACAGTGCGCAACCTACATCAACTCCTAAGATGGGACACATCGGTTCCCTCCTTCTGGTACCCACACAATAACAAAAGGGCCAACATTTTGAACATTTTTATACCCTTCACCACTCTGTGTGCATATGTTTGTAACAGGCAAAAATAATTGAGATAGACCCATGGTTCCTTTTGAGAATATGCATAGAATCACTTTCTAAGTCGATTTATGCATGTCTGTCCGTCTGTCTGTCCATGTTAAATTGTAAACAAAGTACAGGTCGCATTTATGATCCGAATTGGATGAAATTTAGCACAGCTCATTTGTTTGGCCCAAGGACGAACCCTATTGAAAATGGGAAAAATCGGTTCAGATATAGCTCCCATATATATTTTCGTCCGATTTAAGGTAAATGGTGTACCAAGGTCCCTCTATATCTTTCGATTTTCACGAAATTTGGCATAGAGTACTAAATTAGGTCCAGAATGATGTGTGTCAAGTTTCGAGAAAATCGGTTCAGATTTAGATATAGCTCCCATATATAGGTTATGCCGATTTAAGGTAAATGGTGCACCAAAGTCCCTATTTATCTTTCGATTTGCACGAAATTTAGCAAAGATTACGGAATTAGGTCCAGAATGATGTGTGCCAAGTTTCGAGAAAATCGGTTCAGATTCAGATATAGCTCCCATATATAGTTTCGTCCGATTTAAGGTAAATGGTGCAACCAAAGTCCCAATATATCTTTCGATTTGCACGTAATTTGGCATAGAGTACTGAATTAGGTCCAGAATGATGTGTGCCAAGTTTCGAGAAAATCGGTTCAGATTTAGATATAACTTTAATATATAGTTTCGTCCGATTAAAGGTAAATGGTGCATCAAAGTCCCTATATATTTTTCGATTTGCACGAAATTTTGCACAAAGTACTGAATTACTTCCAGAATGATGTGAGCTAAATTTCGAGAAAATCGGGTCAGATTTAGATATAGGTCTCATATATAGTTTCGTTCGATTTAAGGTAAATGGTGCACCAAAGTCCCTATATATCATTCGATTTGCTCGAAATTTGGCATAGAGTACTGTATTAGGTCCAGAATGATGCTTGCCAATTTTCCTGAAAATCGGTTCAGATTTAGATATAGCTTCAGTATATAGTTTCGACCGATTTAATTTAAATTGTGCACTAAAGACCCAAAGATTGGCCTATCGTCACACAGTTTTGTACAATGTACTGTTACTATAACCTTTCGTGTCAAGTTTTCTTGAAATTGGTTCAGATTTACATATAACTTCTATATATATTTTCGTCCGATTTTAAGTAAATGGTACACTAAAGGCCCATACAGACCCATGCACGTACAGAAATTAATAAAAATTAATATCTAGCAAGTTTCCTTGAAATCGGTTCAGATTAGCTTCCATATATAATTTCGACCTATTCATGTTGACTGTACACCAAATAATCAATGGTTGCCTGATTGATACATTTTAAACAGCGAAGCATACCAAATAGCGTGTGCTTTAAATCTATTTACAAAATTTAGGATAGGTTGCAGAATGACATGTTTTGGAATTGATGTTAGTCGGTTTACTTATCGCATATTTAAGTTCGTTCAATTTCATGTAAATGTTCCCTAGAAAAGGATACATATGTAAAATATCCCCAAAGTGGTGAAGGGTATCATATAGTCGGCCCAGTCCGACTTTACTACTCTCCTTACTGGTTTACATTACAGATGTTTATTACTTTTATCAACAAATATCTACAACGATTCCAGAATGTTCTCACTCGCTTTGTCCACGTCTATGTTGCTGTGGTGACATTCTTACTTCTCCGCTAACGAGGCCTTATTTATAAATATTGTGTCTAGGCTAAAGGGATGATTTTGTTCACTACTGTACTAACACATATTGATAAATTTATTCTCGAACTCATACTGTGTAAAAATGGCAACATACGACTCCAATAATTTGACAGTGTTGCTGGGTAGCTGGGTAGAACGAATAGTTTGACGGTGTCAACAGGTAGCTCTTCCTTCCCAACGAACCTTTACTTATTCCTCTCGTGAACTTTAGACACCTGATTGATCAAATTGGGCATCATTCACCGATGATGGTGGGCGTACACGTAAACTTTCGCAATAGGATGCTAAATCTTCCCTGTTCATTTCGGTGACCGAACCGAAATTCAGGATAATTTAGATATAGCTGCCGTGAATATTTTCTACCGACTACATGTAAATAGTGCTCTAAATTCCCACGGTTTGTCCGATTCAGGCGTAATTTGGAATGCCGTACTGTATTGAGTCTAAAACGACATGTGTTAAGTTTCGTTGAAATCGGATCAGCTTCAGATATGGCTAAAGTAGACAACTTTTGAAGACAGCACAGTACTTATCCTAGGGTATTACTGGACTGTATTCATTTGCAGTTTTCCATTGAGCCTCCAATAGAAGTTCCTCCACCTTCGTCTACCAACAACGGTTTTCTTAAGCGGTATATTCCGTTCTCCATGATCATCACTCGGTGATTTACTTTTCCAGCGATAAAGATTTTTATTTGCTCGGACTTTGACAGAAGCAATGTTCCTTTTAATTCTTCAAAATTTCCACACACAGCTCCCTTTCCTTTGATTTTTTTCCGCTAAGCTGCAGGATTTCTTTTTGTGTCTGCTTTTCATAGTTTTTTGGTTCGAACACACGCATTTTCGAACAATTCTACAGTGGCCTTATACACGACTTTTACATACCAGCAACCGTGGACTGTCTCCATCTTTGGTGCCTGTAAATAAATTCCCTCTGTACTGAGGGTTTGCCGGGGCAACAAATATTGGAAGGTTTTAACTACTTCCTTCAGTTCCTTCATTAAAGCGGGCCCTTTGTGCAGTCCGTGAAGACAGCATATTAATTGTTTGTGTTGTGTGTATTTGTTCAACGTCGCCACTGCCTGTGGCAAGGTCTTCCTTGTTATTTGCGGTTATTTGCTGCCGTTGTTTATTTTGTTTTGGGATACCAGCCCGATCTTGGGTCGAACTGGGAGAGGCTTCGGTCTCGAGCCTGAGCGGAGGTTTTCCGTACCGAGTGTCAGGTGCCCCTTGCTCTGCTGATCCAGCCTGACAGCTGATCCAGCCTGACAGCTGATCCAGCCTCCCAAGGGGGAGAGTATGCCTTCTGCATGCTCTCCGATTGGTACAGCACTTCGGTGCTGGTGCGCTGGTGGGCGCATATCCGCCTGTGGCTCAACCACTGTGAAGTAGGCCAATGAACAGGTACTCACACAAAACACTTCAAGATTACAGCGGAGTATGTCTAGAACATTTGATTTAATTTGAACAATATATCTTCAGAGAACTCCACATTTGCATCTTCTGGAAGCAGAGAGAAGAGAGAGCTCCACATACGACGTCTTCAAAGACTCCATTATATTTAGCGAAATGTTTTTAGACATACCAAACAAATCATGTCTCGCTTCGGCACATCGGCAAAAAGTCGACTTTTAGATTTTTCGATTTTTACCTCCGACCAAAAAGTCGATTTATACACTCTCGATTTTTTCCTCTGACTTTTGGATCTATCAAATCTGTTCAAAATCGATTTTCAACTTTTGCCGACTGATGCCAAATCAACTTTGATTTTTTTTTATAAATTGTTGTCAACAGATAAAATAAAGTTCTGGAATGTGTAATTTGGGCTTTGGGATAATAAACGAAGCAAAAAGTCGATTAGTCGAAAGTCGATTTACTTATCCCTACTAATTACACAATCGGCTTCAATGCAAAATCATATATTCTGGAGTTCTTGGCGAAGATTGGGCAATAGAATTCTAGATAATCCCGCTTGATGGATAAAATCACAATTTGTTTCAGTTCTTCCAACTCTTCTTCCATAATATTTATCCAATACTTTAGTAGACCTAAGTGTCCGGAAGAGTATTCTTTTCGTCAAAAACGTACATAAAGCGTTTAACTCCTGAGCTTTTCGAGTTTCTCTTACACTCCCGCTCATCAAATCTTTTTTCCGGGACTCTCAGCTAAAATCTGTCCCTTTCTCCATCTCAAATTTTTAAATAAAAAGACTGTTTATACCCTTCACCACACTGTGGTACAGGGTATTATGTCTTTGTGCATATGTTTGTAACAGGCAAAAAGGTAAATGGTGCACCAAAGTCCCTATATATCTTTCGATTTGCACAAAATTTGGCACAGAGTACTAAAATAAGTCTAGAATGATGTGTGCAAAATTTCGTGAAAATCGGTTCAGAATTAGATATAGCTCCCATATATATCTTCGCCCGATTTTAGGTAAATAGTCCACTAAAGTCCCTAGAAATCTTTTAATTTGCACAACATTTGGCACAGCGTAATGAATAAGGTCTAGAATGATGTCTGCCAAGTTTTGTGAAAATCGGTTCAGATTTAGATATAGCTCCCATATATATCTTCGTCCGATTTATGATAAATTGTGTACCAAAGTCCCTATATATCTTTCGATTTGCACGAAATTTAGCACAGCGTACTAAATTAAGTGTAGAATAATGTGAGCGAAGTTTCGTGAATATCAGATATAACTCCCATATATAGCATCGCCCGATTTTAGGTAAATAGTCCACTAAAGTCCCTGGGAATCTTTTGATTTGCACGAATGGCATAGCGTACTGAATTAAGTCTAGAATGATGTGTGCGAAATTTAATTTTCATTCAATTTAAGGTAATTGGTCCACCAAAGACCCTATATAACTTTCGATTTGCCCGAAATTTGGCATAGCGTACTGAATTGCGAATTGTGGCTAAGTTTCATGAAATATATAGCTAACATATATAGATTTCCCCGATTTTGGGTAATTGGTGCACCAAATTTTTTAATTAGCACGAATTTTGGCATAGCGTACCGAATTAAGTCTAGAATGAGTTTCGTGAAAATCGGTTCAGATTTAGATATAGCTCCCATATGTATTTCCATCCGATTTTAAGTAATTGGTGCATCAAAGTCTCTGAAAATCATTCGATTTGCACGAAATTTGTCATAGTGTACTGAATTAAGGGTGAAAATCGGTTCATATATATTTTCGTCCGATTTTATGTAATTGGTGCACCAAAGTCCCAATATATATTTCGATTTGCACGAATTTCGGTATAGGGTACTGAATTAAGTCTAAAATGATGTTGCTAAGCTTCGTGAAAAGATCCATAGCTAGGCCAATTGTCGCAACGTACTGATGTTATATAAATTAGTCTCTGGCAAGTTTCCCTGAAATCGGTTCATATATAGATTTATAACAAAACGCGTCGTCTGTTAGGACACATATGTAGAATATACCCAAAGTGGTGAAGGGTATCATATAGTCGGCCCAGTCCGACTTTACTACTTTCCTTACTGGTTTTCTCATGGAACAGAAAATCTCTAACAATTCTTGAGATCACTACTTTAAACTGTATTTTTTTCTCATCAATTGCTTATAATAATTCTTTATTGTTATTGCTGAGTTCCTTAACACTGGTGGATAAAAAATAGGTTTGTCGAAGGACCAAACCTTGCAAAATATAAAATGCGATTTGATGCATCCAGCAACTCGTCTGTACTATAAATGAATAAAACACGACGCTAATAGGGACAAGTAAATCGACTTTCGACTAACCGACTTTTTGTATTGAAAAGTCTAAAAGTCCGAGTCGACTTTTGATCTACGAGGAAATCGTAAAATCGACTTTTCATGATCGACTTTCGATGTTCTTCATAAATACTTGGTTTATTTTCAAAAAACTCCAAATTGCCCAAAAGTTACACATTTCAGAACTTGATTTTATCTATTGACAACAATTTACATAAAAGTCTAATTTTTGCATTCCGCAAAAGTCGAAAATCAATTTTGAAGAGGTTTCAAAAATCGAAAGATCAAAAAAATCGACTTTTTAGTCAAAGACAAAAATCGAAAAGTCTAATAGTCGAATTTTGCGCTCGACAAACGTCAAACGACCGTTCCACTTGCGTGGTTTTGGGGCACTTAAACTAGTCTTTCTTACACTAATCCTAAACACACAATACTTATCAATTAACAATTCGTTCTATTAATAAAATTTGTCCATCGAATTCCTTATAAAATCTTAACAACAAATCTCAAAAAACGTTCCTATAATCATATAGGATGAGGAAAAGGTTTACAGATTATAAGTTTCTTATACAAAGTAAGCCTATAAAAGGTCTATTACAACCTTAAATCTAAATACAAAAACCAGTGAGCCGAGCAGTATAGTCGGACGGGACCGACCATACGATACCCTACAAAACTACCACGAAACTCAAATTTTCTGCGGATGTTTATTCCGAGTCTGGGCAATATTTAGTGATATTTGCACCATCTTGCCCGATTAGAGATAAACAGCACCTCTTCCTTACACTGACATATTTTCCGAATATTCAGTACAGCTATAGTCCAGATTCCCTTCACCGTGGGTTGTGTTGTGATGTTCGGCTTTCACTTCTGGTCTATAGATCGACTCGAAAATAACACAAAAAATTAACTTTTCGGTCCACTTCATTCCAAAAATATTATCTGATCATCACCGAAAATTATAGGCGTTGTCCTTGACCGTAACAGGAACCTCATGGAACATTTGAAAGCGATCAACGCTATAGTTCCGCTCTCTAGAGTGATAATGGGTTACTAAATAATATACGAATACGGAGATACCTGTAAATATTCAGGTTAACTCCCACATCCGAGCAAATAGAACAATATAATTGGTATTAATTTAAAGGTCAACCACTCCTCTTGGATATAATATCAACTTCACGGGTCTATGTCCTTCAAGAGTAAATATATACGCTATAGAATACAAATGTTGTCATTTTTCACACAAAAGTAAGGGTCCATTTGACCCGCTAAATATTGGCCGATCTTTATCAAAACAGGCATGATTATTCTTTGGCACGATCATGTTCTCCATGTAAAATTTCACGGTGTTCGGACCATAACTGCGGCCTCTGGAGCGACCAGAAAAACCGACAAAAATTAAGTATTTGATCAATTTCATCCCTTAAATATTAACCGATCTTTACCAAAAACAATAGGGGTCTTCATTGGGCCGAACCTATCCTCCATGCAAAATTTGGTGAAGATTGGTCCACAAATGTGGCCTGTATCGTGTTTACAAATTATAATGGACAAATTATACGGACGGACGGACACACATGTCTAGATCGACTCAGCTAGTCGAGATATGACGATCAGTATACTTAAAGTATTTCGTGGCGTTACAAACTTTTGGGGCTGCACAAAGCTATAATACCCTGACAACATAGTTGTGTAGGGTATAAAAATATTCTTTCCCTTACTATCACAGCTTCACGACCGACACTTGTGTATGTTTACATTAGACTGCTTTAATGATTACTTTATTGTTTTTGGTTTTTTTTGTAGGTCATGTTACCCCTTCGCGTACATGGTATCTATATTACGATACCGAGAATTTTCAACGTGAACTTGAAGAAGTTGTCTGGGAAATAATGCCATTATATCAAGAGCTGCATGCCTATTTGCGTCATTGGGCACGCCATCAATATGGCAAACATTTGACCGATGCTACAGATGGTGCCATACCGGCACCAGTAATGGAACAGATTATCACACAAGATTGGTATGCTAATCCAATATTTCGTATACCATTCCCCAAACATCCATTGCCAACGGTTAAGCAACGTTTAGAGGAGGTAATGGACACACCAGTGCAGATGATAAAGAAATCCTCGGAATTCTATGAATCGATGCATTTGAATAAATTGAACAAGTAAGTGGGAATGAATAGTAGACAAAATGCGATACTGAGAAATGAGATGTGTTGAAATCTGTATTGAATTTCATTTTAGAACATTTATGGACAAATTTGTACGACGCATCAATGAAGATGACCCGAATAAAGTTTGCAGCGTTGAGGTGTCATATTTTCCACCGGATGTTGCCTTGAGATTTTGTAATAAGGTAGGCATTCTTACTGGCAATTATATCCAGTATTTATTTGTATTTTTTTAATATTTTAAGGTTGATTATCGTGCCTTTTTGCAAATGCATGGCCATGTTGCGGAACTCCAATATAACATGTATAAATCCAATTTGCCTGTGGGCTTGGACAAGGAACCTTGCCCTGGTTTTGGTAGTGCATTGGGTGAAGCTTTTATTATTGCTGCTGGTACGCCGCGTCATTTAAGCCGCTTGGCTATTGTGGTCAATGATAGTCTACCGCCGGAGCAGTCTCTTAATCGTTTATTCCGCATGGTGAGTTGTTAATATAGTTGAACATCTTCGTTCTTTTGGTTCTCTACGCAAAAGGAACTAGGTCATTCATTTTGTTCCATAGTTAATTTTTGTTCAATCATTCATTGGTGTACGTCAGTTAATTCGGTCAGTGAACGAGAAGAACTAGGTGAACCATATCAAAAAAGAACGATTGGAGCAAACGGAACTAGACGAACGAAAGAACCGGATCTAGTACAAATCGTTCCCTTTTCAAAAGAGTTCCTTTGAACTAGTTCTTACTGGAACGGTCCAAATTACATTTATGTCACCTTTTCAAAAAAAATCAAAATCTTAATTTACTTTTTAGGGTGTTCACACCATTATGGCCATACCACAATATTTTATAAATGATAAATACTTCGTGGATGTTATGGATGGCAGGATTAGTCCCAGGGAATATAATTGTGCCTATTGGAAACTACAACATAAATATGCTGGTGTAGTGCCGCCGAGTAGACGTAATGAAATGAGTTTTGATCCAGATTTTAGATTCTACAAAGGTCTGAGTCCCGATAAATCGAATACCATGTAAGTACAGGGTATATATGATATAAGATTGTGTGAACACATTGTGTCATTTACCATTTAAATATTTGAACTTATAAATAATACCATACAATTACATCATTGATCTTAGTACCTACAGATCCTGAGTGGACTTTTTTATGTTCCACAAATTCACGCATATTTTTATACCCTACACAACTATGTTGTCAGGGTATTATAGCATTGTGCGGTCCCAAGAGTTTGTAACGCCGCGAAATATTGAAATTGTACATGAAGTTTCGATTATGGTCAAGGACGACGCCTATAGTTTAGATTTCATTCTGAAGGGCGCAATGAACCGAAATCTTTAATTTTGTCTGATTTCCTGTCGCTCTAGAGGCAACTGTTATATGCAGAACATCACATATTTTACAAGGTGAAGGGGATCTGACCAAACACTTAGAGCGGCTGTTTAGATGATGATCGGTCAATATTCCGAGGGTCAAATCAACCGAAACCTAAAGTGACCAATTTTTTATTTTATGGATATTAACGAGTTTTTATTTTATGGATATTAACGAGTTAAGTTGAAAAGTTGGGAAATATTTATGTTTGTATCTTGGGATCAGGACCTGTCATAGGTGGAATAACATTTTACTGAACTCTTGATTATGTCCTAGTAGATTTCATACCACACGCCTTACAATTGTATCACATTTATTACCGATACCCACTACGACTCTTTGGATCTGATATATCAATTATTTTAACAAATGTCCACTAGAGCCTCAGTCTTATGCCTAATTAGGGTATATATTGGTTTTAGACCCTATGTTTCTTTGAACCAAATCCATTTCAGACAATTTAGTGTGGAGGTGTTAACTCTCACTCTCTGGTCGGCAGGTTAACTCTCGAAGGGATTAACCGATTTCATCCAAACTTCGTAATATTTATTCCAAACATAAATCAAGTTCGGAGATGGAATATGGGACCACTCCACAAAATGGTCAACATTTTTCTGAAAATAAATTTTATTAGGACTTTGAAAGATGTGACCCATCTAATTGTAAGTTTTTTGAAAAACTGTTGATCTAATATCAAAGGAATGGAATGTCCGATTTGATTCGAACAGTGCGCAACGTATTGTTTATTCCAAATCTACATCCAGTCCTAAGACGGTGCCGTAAAAATTCATTTCAAGAAAAAAATGGAAAATATGCCAGGGTTAGAATGTGGAGTTGTTGATCTATAATCAGTAAAAAGCAAATATCACAGCGTAATGAATTAGGTCTAGAATAATGTGTGTTAAGTTTCCTGAAAATCGGTTCATATGTAGATATGGCTCCCATATATATTTTCGTCCGATTTAATGTAAATAGTGCACCAAAATCCCTTAATATCTTTCGATTTGCACGAAATTTGACACAGCGTAATGAATTAGGTCTAGAATGATGTGTGCTAAGTTTCGTGAAAATCGGTTCAGATATTGATATAGCTCCCATATATATTGTCGTCTGATTTTATGTAAATCGTGCATAAGGACTTTGATATATCATTCGAGTTGCACAAATTTGGTATAGAGTACTGAATTAGGTCCAGAATGATGTGTGCTAAGTTTCGTGAAAATCGGTTCAGATATAGATATAGCTCCCATATATATTTTCGTCCGATTTTATGTAAATCGTGCACCAAAGTCCCTATATATCTTTCGATTGGCACGAAATTTGGCATAGCTTAATGAATTACGTCTATAATGATTTTTGTTGAGTTTCCTGAAAATCGGTCCAGATTTAGATATAGCTATCATATATTATCGTCCGATTTAATGTAAATGGTGCACCAAAGTCCCTATATATCTTTCGATTTGCAGGAAATTTGGCACAGCGTACTGAATAATGTCTAGAATGATTTGTGTTAAGATCGATGTGGTGAAGGGTATCATATAGTCGGCCCCGTCCGACTTTACTACTTTGCTTACTGGTTTTAATATCTTTTAAGGGCCATCCTTATGCGTGGATTTTTACACCCTTTACCACACTATGGTTCATGGTATTATGTCTTTGTGCATATGTTTATAACAGGCAAAAGAAATCGAGATAGACCCATGTTTCCTTTTGAGAATATGCATAGAATCACTTTCAGAGTCGATTTACGCATGTCCGTCTGTCTGTCCGTCCGTCCATGGATTTTTGTTAACAAAGTACAGGTCGCAATTTATGATCCGATTTGGATAAAACTTGACACAGTTCACTTATTTGGCCGTTCACTTCGGTTCTGATTTAGATATAGCTCCTATATATAGTTTCGTCCGATTTTATGTGAATGATACACCAAACTCCCAATATTTGTCTGATTGAGTAAAATTTTGCATAGCGAATGCTATTGAAAAAAAAATGATGCGTGATAAGGTTTGTTGAAATCGGTTCAGATTTATATATATTTTCGTTCGATTTTATGTAAATGGTGGTTACACGAAATTTGTGCAGAAGGCATTTGTATTGAATATCGAGTGATAACAGAAAACAAATGGTGTATGCAACTCAATTAGGTCCATGTGTTTATATATAGCTCCCATACATAATTAGACTCGATTTCATACAAATTGTACACCAAAGAATCCAAGTCTGTCCATTTGACATGCAATTGTTCATTGATTTCAGAATGGTATGTATATGGGGTTTTTCAATTGTTTCAAATATCTATCTAGATAGCACATTTAATTTCGCCCGATTCCATCTCAATGATCTTCCAAAGATTGCATGTACCCAAAGTGGTGAAGGGTATAATATGCCGGCCCGTCCGACTTTTGAAATATCCTTACTCGTTTTTAATATTTTTTTAAGGGCCATCCTTAGCTGTGGATCCCTATATATATTTTTTGCCTATCCTTAGATTAGATCCCTCTGGCGTGTATTTTGTACAAAAAAATTTCCAGGCTAAAACCTAATTTAAATTAAATAACTCCAACTCTGGTTAACGCCCAGCGTATTTATATACTTAACCTTTTTATTTAACCACTAATTTATTAATTTAAAATGTTCCTATTAGATTGATATTTAATTTATTCTCCAATTCTTCTCATTCCACAGCAAATTTATTTCCGAAGTTTTGGGTCTACAATTTTATCGGTCATTTTGTATGCTCAGTGCTGAATATAAACCGGGTAATCCGGAACATCCGTTATACAATTGTGATTTTTATAATAGCACAGCAGTGGGGGATGTTGTCAAGTATGCATATTTTTCTCAGTTGCTATTTTTTTTATTTCAATAAAATTTCAATTTGTTTGTTTCCCAGGAAAATGATGAAAATGGGTGCCACCAAACATTGGCGTGATATCATGGCAATAGCAACAAAGGAGCGTCGTCTAAGTGCCCAGGGTGTCATGGAATATTTTGCACCACTGTACATTTGGCTAAAGGAGCAGAATAAGAAATTGGGTCTTATACCCGGATGGGATGATGATATACGTAAGTTGTGTTAAAAGAGGAAAAGTGTGAGACCAGGAATTTTATTAATAAATTATTGTTTTTCAATTTCTTTTCAGAATGCGGAAATTATTTCTAAGCGTTGAATATGTTATTCGAAATCAAATTATGATGTAAATATTATATGCATATATACACAAAATATATACATACATATATTTTACTATTGAAGTACTATTGGAGAAAAAAACTTGAGCTTAAAGAATAATTTTGAAATTAAAGCACTACAAATTAAAATGAAATTAAAGCACTGGATTAACATATCTCTTGAAAGCGATAGAAATTTAATGAAAGTAAGGACATTAGAATAAAATATTTTTTTTAGAATTATCAGAAAATGCCAACGGATTATGAAAGAGGGGCTAAAAATAGAAAACACGTGCATCGGCATTTTTAAAGTTTACGTCGAGAGGTAACCTAAATAGGCGTGACAATATTCCCCATTTCCAGAGATTTGAAAATATTCGGATTAAGATTTCTGTAAATCCTTGCATTTTAGGTATATGGTGTCTTTGGCAATATTACTAATATAATATTTTTGCGAAAAACGTTAACACTCAGTCGGCTCTCTGAAGGTGCATTTAAAATGGGATTATAGCAGATCATTTTACTATAGATCAGAATAGACCCAAACTCCAAAATCAGCCTAAACGCCAAAAATCTTAAACGTATGAAAACTCATTTTAGGTTTAAACCCGATCTTACTCAGAGTTTATAACATATTTTCCCACTAGATGTCGTCTTAGAAGGATGGTAAGAAGGACAAAAATAATCTTCATATAATTTTAGTATAGGACACTGAACAAGAGAAATCGCTATATATAATATATATACCGAATATAAGACAAATAATTCAAAAACTAATGGCATTTTTTCTTTGAATTTTTCTAGTACTTTTTTCAATGAATTGTATATACGTCAAATTTCATTATTTGTCTCAAAACAAACTACATATTAAAATTCAATAGTTTTTTTAGAAATTTAAAGAATAAAATTACAATAATGGCAACAAATTCTTTGTTGACTTTAGTAAATCTACAATAAGACTGCATCTTCGTTTCTGGTACAACAATTGGTTTTCTAGAAAAGTTCAAAAAAACATATTACCTAATATATTCTATCATGTTTAAAGGTAAAAAGCCGCTAACAAAAGTAGTACCACTTAATCATGGCATAATTACACAAGGTAGTCTCATTTGTGAAATTAATAATGGCAACCCTTTTTAATTTGGAAGTCATCTATCAATTTCATGAATTATTGAACAAACGCATTTTCTGTGTTCGATGTTACAGAAGTAACTAATTTAAGAAATTCTTGAGTTTTTAAAAGCTTTCTATAACAACGAAATAAACGATGCCGTCGAAGGGAAATAAATAAGCCCCGCCAAGGGAAAAAATATTGTCAAGCTCTTCAATGAAGAAAAAACATACGGTGAAATTGGTCGAATTGTTGATAGAACACATTCTTCAATAAAACATTTCCAATCGACCGGTGTTTTTGTTTCCCGTTTTGGCCGGCCGCCAATACGCAGAAGTCGTGAAACGTGCAAAGTTTTGCAAAGTGTGCAACAAAATCCAACACTTTCAGCATCGCAAATTGCTGAACGCGTAGTTTCACAAAACCATCTGTTCCGACGCATTTCGAAAAATCCTGAATATAATGGCCGTGTTGCACGTAGAAAGCACACCATATATTTAATTAATAGAAAGAAACACATTGCTTTCACCAAGGAGCACTTAAATGAGCCTCGGGAGTTTTAGGAAAATGTTATTTTTCTCAGATAAGATCATAGTCTAGTTCTTGAACGACCTAGTTCAATTGAACGAGTCAGTCCAGTGAACGAGTGAACGACATAGTTAAATGTTGATTATTCTCGTTCACTGAACGAGTTTGTTTACCAAACGCCGTCACTGAACGACTTTGCTCAATGAACGCCATTGGTCACTGAACGACGTTGCTCACTGAACGACTTTGCTCATTAAATCATCAGAGTCGTCCACAAGAGCACTGACTTTGATTAACTGCACCGTGTCAAACAAGAACAATTTCATATAAAATCTGTTAAATTTAAGAAGGTGTAATAAATTTAGCACTCGGTAAAGAAGTACATTGAGGCCTCATTTCATGAAATGCGGTACTAGAGGGTCAGTAAATAGCTAGCAATGCGCTGTCATTACAATTGAACTGAGTGATCATTTGACGAAATACGGCAACGAAACGAATGACTTAGTTCATTTAAAAAAAAAATACCTACTTCGTTCGATCACTGAACTGAACGAGATTGCTCAAGATGATATAGCGAAAAAGGGTACGGCGCTTGATAAGAACAACGTAGTACCGACTGTGAAACATGGCGGCGGCAGTGCAATGATATGAGGTCGTATGCAGTGTTGCCATTTGAAAATTTTATTTCCGCCCAAAATTTCCCTAAAAAGTGCCCAAAATCAACAATTCAAGAGTTGAAAAGTATACACTGACGTTAAGTATTAAAAGCAAGTGTCCTTTTTTTTCTAAATGCTGAATATGTGGCCTTTAGGGCACAACTCTTTAATGAAAACATATACATTATATAAACCGAATGGTAAATACTTTGTAGTCTAAACACGAAAGGCCTTAATACATATACTTAATATAAATTTAGGGCAATTATCGGTCACAATATAATAAAAAATGTTCCACCTAGGCATTAGAGAGTAATTTCATAGACCACAGAAAACCGTAGATTGAGGTTGTATATATGTCGGCAAACCCGACTGAATGACCTAAAATAAATCCAGTAAGCGGAGAAGAATATTCGGAAGGGGCTGACTATACACTAATACGACTGGACATACATTTTCAGTGAATGTTTGTCCACATATGAGCATTTTGGTATATTCGGCCACATAAGTCAAGATAGTTGAAATGATTTCAAAGTACAAATGATTTTATTTAATATGTTCGTGGATAAAACATGTCCACCATAGTATGTTATGTTCTTCGATGCTCAGATCCACTTCCCGGTTATATTAAATGGTATTCGGATCATATATATGGTCTATAGAGCTATTAGAATTAGACATTAATAAAGATTTTGGTCAATTTTATCCCATAAATATTCTCCGATAACTACAGAAAACTATAGGTTTCAACCGGAACATTAAATATTTTGTAACGTTTGCGCGACATTTGATAGTGGGAAAAAGTTGGGCTATAATTTCTGGAGCAACCGGCCAAATATTAAATGATCTTCATTAAAACATAGTTCGGGTCATAGTTGTGAGCTCTCCAGCGACCAGAGTTACAGACAAAAATAAAGTTTTAGGTCCATTTGAACATATAGGAGAAAAAAATATGCCAGAAACGAAAAATATGCCCAAAATCTGCCCAATCCTTAATTTTACATTATTTATGTCCACTTTCGGCAACACTGGTCGTATGGCTAGTAGTGGCATGGGACATTTGGGGTTCATCGAATCTACTTTGGATAAATATGAATATCTTAATATTTTAAAGGCAAATTTAAAGCGGAGCGCCGATTTTCCTACTTCCCGCAGGAAAATGACCTTAAGCACACTGCTTTGAGGACTCCACCGAACGCCGCCACAGTCCCCCACAGCTAAATTACCTCCAAGACAATGCTCAACGAAGTGCTGCAAGATAAATGGAACCAAATATCTTCGACAGAAACTTCCAAGCTGGTATCTTCGATGCCAAAGCGCTTTGCAGAAACGTAAAGGCTATCGAACTGCCTATTAACTATAAAGTAAAGTTAAAAATTAAATTAAAAATAATATTATTATTTTTTTGCCCTTGTTTTGTTTATCGAACTTTATATAACACTAGCGGGACCCGTGGCCCTGTTGAAGTTATCAAATTAAAATTTAGATATGATCAATTAGTAAGCATCCTATATAAAGCTGCAATATTTACTAAATTTAATTTTTATCTAATCTATGTCACTTCCATGGGATCGCTTGAATACTTTAGTAAAATCTGTTTAGTGGTTTTTGGGTCCGCAAACAATATGTTTATATTTTCTACGTATTGATTTAAATGCAATGAGGTGTGCATTTTCCCTTGCCCGCGGTCATGTTGTGTGGATGGTGCTTAACTCAGGAATAGTTTGAAATCGGTATCTGTAACCGTACTCAAGACATACGCAGATAAACGCATATTACATGTTCAGAAATTTTGAGGTATGTTTACTATTGATACTATAACTCCGCATCCACGCGTAATTTTAAAAGTTTATACAGCCTATGTTACTTTCAGGACATGCCCCGACATACAGTGTAAATCTCATTAAAATCTGTTCAGCGGGTTTTGCGTCTATCGGTAACATACAAACAAACAAATACATGTTTTCTGTTATATATATATATATATATATAGAAGATAGATAGATAAATAGATTTAAACATTTTTAATTCGGTGTTTCCCCATATTTTAATTTTTCTCCTTTTCATATTGTTCTTGCAGCTGTAAGCAAAACAAAACAAATGAGAGTAAATTTTTCTATGTTTGCAATATTAATGGATAGTGAATGCAAAATAATTAGGGGATGCAAAATGAAGAGGAATCGCCGACAAAAAAGGTCTTAAGGGAAAATTTAAATAATTCAGTAGAAGCGTCCAGTTAAAATTACCCTTTTACCAGTCTTATGGGAAGTTGCTTCGGAACCCTCCAATTCATATCAGAATTCCACTCCATTATACCAAGGTCTAGGCCCCAACAACAGCAGTTACTCCCAATCAGTTAAGGTATAAAGGGAATTTAAAGTATTTCAAAACTCTTAATTTGGATATTATAAGAATTAATTTTGGAGCATATTATTTTTGTGAATTGTAATGTTGAAAAATTAGTTGAGAAAAATATTAGCATCCCAAATCTGTTTGAAATTTATCACAAAAACCAGTAAAAATAGTAGCGAAGTCGTACTGGGCCGACTAAATGATATCCTTCACCACTTTGTGTATATTGTGCATCTCGACATCATAAATGCGAACAGACGTAACTTTAATTGTACTAATTTTACAGGACAAGCAAAAAACGTTATAAAATCTATAAAAATGGATCATTGCTCGAAATTTTGTCATAGTTTAACCGCACTATA